GAAACAACCTAGATGCCCATCAACAGATGAATGGATAACTATGGTACATACACACAATGAAGTACTACGCAACGATAAAAAACAATGATGAATCTGTGAAGCATCTCATAACATGGATGAAACTGGAGGACATTATGCTAAGTGAAATAAGTCATTCACAAAAGGACAAATATTGTATGAGACCTCTATTGTAAAAACCCATGAAAAAAGTTTACACACAAAAAGTAACAATCTTTGTTCCTTACGAGGGATGGGAGGGGTAGGGGGGAAATACTAAATAGGCAATAGATAAGTGGTATTCGACAGTACACAATACTGGGGAAACCAGCACAACTTGTACAAGTAAAGGTCATGGAAGCTCCACAGACACATCCAAACTTCCTGAGGGACTGAACTGCTTGACGGAGGGCTGTGGGGACTGTGGTCTCGGGGAACATCTACCTCAACTGGCATAACACAGTTTATAAAGAGTGTTCTACATTCTACCTTGGTGAGTAGTGTCTGCGGTCTTAAAAACCTGTGAGCAGCCATCTAAGATACTCCACTGGTCTCACCCCTTCGGGAGCAAGGGAGAATGAAGAGAACAGGATATAAGGAAAAGATCAGTCCAAAGGACTAATGGACCACAGCTACCAAGGCCTCCAGCTGACTGACTCCAGTACAGCTAGATGGTGCCTGGCTACCACCACTGACTGCTCTGACCGAGATCACAACAAAGGGGTGTGGACAGAGCTGGAGAAGGATGTAGAACAAAATTCTAACACACACAAAAAAGACCAGGTTTACTGGCCTGAAAGAGACTGGAGAAACCCCAAGAGTATGGCCCCCAGACACCCTTTTAGCTCAGTGGTGAAGTCACTGCTGACTTCAGCTGAACTCAGCTGCGGACTGGACAGTCCCATAAAACAAAGCAGCACTAATGAGGCACAGCAGTCCAGGGACAAGGACTAGAAGCCAGAAGGGGACAGGAAAGCTGGTGATAGGGAACCCAAGCTTGAGTAAGGACAGTGTTGACGTGTAGTGGGGTTGTTAACCATTGTCATAGGGCAACATGTGCACTGTTAAATGAAAAACTATTTTGTTCTGTAAACCTTCATCTAAAGTGAGAATAGCAGCATAACTGGAAGAGCGTAGTCAATGTCACTGAACTGTGCATGTAGAAATTTTTGAAATGGTATACTTCTGGCTATGTACAGTTTCACCAAAAAAAAAAAAAGGTCATGAAGAGAGAGGGCTAACATGTTGTGGGGTTGTTAACCAACGTCATAAAACAATATGTGTACTGACTGCTTAATGAGAAACTATTTGTTCTGTAAACCTTCACCTGAAGTACAATTAAAAAAAAAAAAAAAAAAAACCGTAGAGCAAGGATTCAAACTCAGACTTTCCAGCTCTGAATCTATCATTTTTTTCACACCAGACTTCTTCCTTTTAGCATCAAAATTGTTTCAAACCACAAATTGATGTTCTACATTGTACTTTGGTGAGCAGCATCTCGGGTCTTAAAAGCTTGTGAGTGGCCAACTAAGATACTCCACTTGTCTCATCCCGTCCGAGCAAGGGAGAATGAAGAAAACCAAAGACACAAGGGAAAGATTAGTCCAAAGGACTAACGGACCGCAACTACCACGGCCTCCAACAGACTGAGTCCAGCACAACTACGCCGGGAGGGATTACAATACAGAGTCCCGGACAGAGCTGGAGAAAAGTGTAGAACAGAATTCTAACTCACAATAAAAGACCAAACTTACTGGCCTGACAGAGACTGGAGAAACCCCGAGAGTATGGCCCCTAAACACCCTTCTAGCTCAGTAATGAAGTCACTCTTGAGGTTCCCCCTTCAGCCAAAGATGAGACAGGCCCACAAAACAAAAACGAGACTAAAGGGGCACACCAGGCCAGGGACAAGGGCTAGAAGGCAAGAAGGGACAGGAAGGCTGGTAATAGAGAACCCAAGGTCGAGAAGGGGAGAGTGCTGACATGTCACGGAGTTGGTAACCAATGTCACAAAACAGTATGTGTACTAAGTGTTTAGTGAGAAGCTAGTTTGTTCTGTAAACCTTCATCTAAAGTAATAATGAAAAAGAAAAAAAACACAAACTGAACACATGCATATTTTATTTCCTTGGTTTTAAAACATTACTTAGTCTCTCCACAAAAATATTTAGAATGAATTAGCGTGAAACTTCTGATGCTCTTAAGTATAAAGCTTCCTCTGACAAAGAAAAGAAAGTTGGAAGAAGTTAAGTCTCCTTCATTATCATTCAGTGGTAGCAGCAATGAGGATGGCAAAAAATTTGACACAGTTTCAGGTACCAGATGCAAGACTGGGGCTCTAGCTTAGTAAGTGGCCACACTTCAGAGTAAGGAAAAAGAAAACCAGTTGCCATTGAGTCGATTCCAACTCATGGGACCCCATGTGTCAAAGTAGAACTGTGCCCCACAGAGTTTTCAATAGCTAATTTTCAGATACAGATCGCCATGCTTTTCTTCTGAGGCACCTGTGGGTAGACTCGAACCACCAACCTTTCAGTTAGCAGCCAAGTGCGTTAACAGAATGAATCACCTAGGGAGTCCCTAGTAAAGGAAAACCCAAACTAAACTGTCGCTGTCGAGTCAATTCTGACTCATAGCAACCCTTCCACAGCTGGTGAATTCGAACTGCTGACCTTCTGGTTAGCAGCCGAGCGCTTAACCACTGTGCCACCAGGGCTCCAGAGTAAAGTAAGAGCTATCCAAAACACTGACTATGTGATCTCTACATCACTGTTAGATAATATACAGTCAGTTCTACTATAACACTTGTTTTGAAAACACAAATTTGCTATAACACGACTGATATATTAGGAAACAATTTGAGCACCGTGAATCTCAAATTTCAAGTTTGCTTCAGAAACTAGGTGAACATGGAAAACTTTACTGAGCTGAAACTAGCCTAGTAGGAATACACAGCACATAGGCACACACCTCAAACATCTATCACTTCAGTTCACCTTGTGTGTCATGAGCCACACCCATCTACATCTGGTGTTAGAACTTTCCATCAGATTTCAGACAACCTCCTTCAACCACTTCATAATAACTCACAAGCTGCAATCCTTTCAAGGCTCACTTTCACAAGCAAACTGCAGGTCTTTTTCAAGGTAAAATGCTGTATTTATTGTAGTATTTATGTATTTTTTAACCATTTAACATGTGTAAAACTGTGTTGCCATTTTTATTAGATACTATCTTTGTTTTTAATCTGTCACTAATGAAGTTTTGAGTGCTGTGTCCAAACCCATTTTCCCCATAAATCATACAGTTTTTAATGAGTAATTTTGCCTAGGACGGTGACTTTTAGGAACCCATATGTCCTGATATATCAGAACTGACTGCATATAAAGCGAACAGAAGTAAATTTTGAACAATGTAATCATAAATATTAGCTGCACTTATTACAATTCCCTCCAAAGAGTGTTGAAAGGATTCTTTCAACTAACATGTAAAAAGCCTAGCATAAAATCTGGCTCAAACCAGACGTTCAGTAAATGTTACTTTACTTCATTTCTTCCTTCTCAAAGATTCTGACACAGACTCAAGTACTGATAACCAAAGGAGATCTTGCAATCTCTAGTGAGATCTCTCTGAAAAACAGAGTAACATATAAAGTGTAAGCCATTATCATGAAGGAAAAAAATACTTTGTTATACTGGAATGCCAACCATGTGTGCAAGTAGATGACTGACTCTAAGGCTTTTTTAAGGTCTGTATTTTTTAAAGCAAACTTTCATTTCTCCTTTTACATACACTCAGATAAAACAACACTTTACAAATGCCACATAGGAATGTTTAAATAATCTCCTCTGTAACAAAATCAAATGGAATCTTCAAGATTAAAAATATCACTGACTTTGAACAAGATTAGAGGTTTCCCAGCAGGCTTTAACAGAAATTTCAAATTATTTCAACAAAGATTTGCTCACATTTTAGTAACCAAAGAAAATACCTCCACATCATTTATTTCTACACTGCAATTTTTATTTTACTTTCCAAGGGCAAAAAAGAAAGATTGTTTCTAATAAACTAAAAATTTAAGAAATTATTTTGATTCCACATTAAGCAAGTCATGAACAATATAATTCATAGGTTACGGGGGTGGGGGAAGACTAAACGCAACAAGTTAAGCTCATTTTTTTAAAGTTACAACTTCAACACAATTTTGCACAATACACAGCATAAAACAACTTAGATATAAGTATACAGCTAACATTCCAGAGAAATCCCCCCAAATCAAGAAAACAACCACAGCATAAAATCCCCTCAACGCCAACAACATTTATACCAAGAATCAACACTCTCTTAAACCTCTTCACTTTGTCTCACCATTAGCGCTGGCAACTGACACTTTCAGAACTATTTTACACTAAGAAACTAAGTTTTTCTCGCTTCATTAGCGTTATCGCCTATAGAGAGCAAAGCTGTATTTAGATGTGAATGCTAATGGTTGACTAGGCTCAGTGATTAGCTAAGTGACTTGCTCTCGCACACCAGCAGCCCAGCATACCTTTCCAAACTCCAAGAACTCGACTTGATTTAAAATTTTTTTCCCTGAAATTACATTCATAAAACAACTCAAAACAAGGATATTTTTCATCTTATATTCCTGTTTCATACTGTCATATACAGTGGTCCTTAACCTTGACTATGTCAAATCAGTTGTAGAGGTTTATAAAACAACAGATGCCTAAACAGTACTATCTGAGATTATGATTCAAACAAACTCATTTCATCTGGATACCATTTTTCCTCCAATGCTAAAACAACCAAAAAGGAAATAAAAATAAGATTTTCCTCTTATTATGCTTTTGTGATGAGAGAAAAGCCATGTAAACAAACTAATACTCTGATTCATTCATAAATGAAACTTTCAAGATCGTATCGGATAATACAGGTTCTGCTTAATATCCTACAATTATCTTATGTAATAATGTGTTCTACAGTGCCAAGGCCCAGCTTACCTCTCTTCTCCAAATATCTTTATGCAAGCACATAATCCAAAGATTTTTTTCTCTTGTCCTGTAATTACAGTTTTAACACTCATTTCATAAACAAATAGTTATTAAACATCTATGTGTACATCATTCTAACCAATGCAGATACAGGTAGTTCACAGTTCAAAAACCTCATGAAAATTACATTTTAATTGCAGAAGACATGTAAACATACAAATATATGTCAGATGGCAATAAGTAATATGAAGAAGAATAAAGCAGGGAAGAAAAATAAGAAGACTGGGGAGGACTTCTATTTTATAAAAGGCAATGGTCAATGAAAGTCTCTACAACATTTAGAGGACACTTGAGCGGAGTCCTAAAAGAAGAGAGGAAGCAACCCATGTAGGTATCTGGAGAAGAAATTTTTCAACAAATAGCCCTTTGTATATAATCTCTTGTATGACCTAAATTTTCGTGTCCAACAATGCTTTTATGAACAAGAATGATATATCTACATCTATGCTGTCAGAAACAGAAATACTATAGGAAATAATGCACACTAAGGAAAAACATACCATTCATTTGAGACAGATCAGCCAGTAGCTCTCCAGACCTCTAAACATGCAGGGCACCATGTCTGGGAACTGTCCTTTAACCCATGGTTCCAAGCCATAGTTAGGACGGTAACTCTATTATTATCAAATAACTAGTTTTAGTGAGCCCCAATAATGACTCTGGAGGATGCAAGACTTTGAAATACCTACAGAATCAAACATTAAATTCAATGCCTTTAAGTTTTTGTCTACTTTACTAAATATATAGGTTTGTCTACTACTAATTGAAAACTAAGAGTCCTGGTGGTGCAGTGGTTAATAGTTTGGGTGCTAACCAAAAGGTCGGCAGTTCAAATCCACCAGCTGCTCCTTGGAAACCCTATGGAGCAGTTCTACTCTGTCCTACAGGGTCGCTGTAAGTTGGAATTGATTCGACGGCAACAGCTTTGGTTTTTGGTTTGGTATTGAAAACTAAACTGTAGTTACCCTTTCATTTTTTTTTTTACCAGAATACATTATTTTCCCAAATAATCTGCACAAGCAAGTATTTTTTAACCTACTCACCTGACCCACAGACTCCTTTTTGAAAACATTTCAGGTCTCTAACACAATAAAGCATTTAAAAAATGTGCTTTGTCAGTTGAAAATAAAAACATATTATTTGCTCATTCATACTACACTTCACTCCAGAAAAGATTTAAGGCAGAAATTAAAAAGTAAACAGAGTGAATTTACCACTTTGATCAAAAGGCTTTTTACTTACTAGATTTTTGCAGAACTTTTAGAAAATATGTTGTGGTTTGTATAATGTATTTGCATTATAGTAAAACTGTATTTCGTTTTCTAATATATTTTTAAACAGAAATGTATCCCAGTTGAAATATTTGATTACGTGCTATGTACAAAAGAAGCGATTTCACAAACGCAATGTATTATTTCCATTTTTTGTTTTTTCTTGTATTTTAAACACATGGAGTACAGGCAAAGTCTATTAAAACCAATTTCAAGTTACTGTCCATATTCAGTTGCAAAACTAGAATTAGGTCACATAGAAATTTAGTTAAATCAACTGACCATCCATGTATATGGAAACCTACCTGTTACAATTCCCAATTTTACTTTCATTTGCCACTAAATCTAACCTATCCTTTATTGTAGAAACAGCACTTTCTCCAAAAGCAATAAATCTAATGAAGTTTCTCTACCTACACTGGGTTGGACCTAATAATTATTACAACTCTTACCTAACAAAGAATTCTCTTCCCCTCACTTCCCTTCAAAAACAGATTAACACTAGACAGATACGGTGTAACTGCCACTGGAAAAACAAAGTTTGGTTCCTGATTCTAACACTAGCTGCTTAGCTTGAGCAAGTTACTTGACCTTAATCTCAGTCTGTCTCCTTAATAAAAATATTTCCTACCTTGAAAACAGTGAGAATTAAGAAAGAAGGGCTCTAAAAAGTACACAGAGTAATTTGGGAAAAAAAAGATGAGACAAATATGCAACAAAACTGAAGTTTTGACAATAGACTACATCAAACCAGGTAAATCCACTGCAGTAACTGAATTTTTTGCAAGCTAAAGTCTAACTCAAACTTCCATCAAAAAATTAAGGCAAAAACATATCTCATTATTTTGAAATGTTGTCTCGACTTTTTTTTAAATACAGACTAATTTCATCTCCTACTTAAGTTTACTACAAACAAGTATGGCACCACCAACAAAGCTGAAAACCTGAATGCTGCTATAACGATTCAGTAAGTTACCAACCTAGCAACACTGATTACAAGGCCTCAGGGTCAATCTGCTGCAAAAGACCTCTTCAAGTTGTTAAAAAGCAAAGATGTCACTTTGAGGATTAAGATGAACCTGACCCAACCTATGGGTATTTTCAATCGCCTCATACATACAAAAGCTGGACAATATATAAGGAAGACCAAAGAACTGATGCCTTTGAATCATGGTGTGCTGGTGAAGAATACTGAATATACCATGGAATGTCAGGAGAACCGTGCCCTCATGGCCCAGTGATTAAGAGCTTGGCTGCTAACCAAAAGATCAGCAGTTTGAATCCACCAGCCTCTCCTTGGAAACCCTATGGTGCAGTTCTGCTCTGTCCTATAGGGTTGCTCAACAGCAGCGGGTTAGGTTTTCAGTAGTGAAAAGAACAAACAAGTCTGTCTTGGTAGAAGTACAGCCAGAGTGCTCCTTGGAAGAGAGGATGGCAAGACTTCGTCTTACATACTTTGGGCATGTTATCAGGAGGGATCAGTCCCTGGAGAAGAACATTATGCTTGGTAAAGCAGAGGGTCAGTGAAAAAGAAGAAAACCCTCAATGAGATGAACTGACACAGTGGCTGCAACAACGGGCTCAAATATAGCAATGACTGAGAGGATGGCAAAGGATCGATCAGGCAGTGTTTCGTTCTCCTGTACGCAGGGTCGCTATGAGTCGGAACCAACTCGATGGCAACTACAATAACAAACAGAGTATGTCAAATTTTTCTGATTTTTTTTGGGGGGGGGGGTGCTTAAAAAAAAGAACTAATTTACTATAAAAGCTGAGGAAGCAAAAGCTTTTTAAAAACAAATGCTAACTATCCTTTCGGTTAGTAAAATTTTCTTCATTCCTAATTAAGAGAACAATGACATTATATCCCCTTTCTTCATTTACTGATTTTCACATTTCTCAGAACTTCTTAATCTTTTGTATACACCTTATCACAATAAATTCTCTAGCACTTTGATTTTAACAATGAATTTAAAGTTTTTACCCTCCTTCACAACCAAAAACATTGTTTAAGATTCTTAATTAAAAACTGCTATCCTATGAATGGTTAAACAAACTGTGGTACATCCATATCAGAGAATAATAATCAGCAAAATAAAAAGGAACAAACGCAACAACCTAGATGAATCACAAGGCAATTATGCTGAGTAAAAAAGCCAATACCAAAAAGTTATATATTGTATGATTCCTTTCATAAAACGTTCTTAAAATGACAAAAATATAGAAATAGAGAACAGATTAGTGGTTGCCACAAGTTGAGGGGCAAAGGGAGTGGGAGGGAGGTGGTTGTGGTTCTAAAAAGACAACACAAGGATTCTTGGGCTGATGGAACTGTTCCATGTATCCTTATTGTGGTGGTGGATATAGAATCTACACATGTGATTTTTAACACTGCACAGAACTAAATGCACACAAATGAGTGCAAGTAAAACTGGGGAAATCTGAGTAAGATTTGGTAGATTATATCAATGTTATGATACCGAACTACAGTTTTGCAAGGCATTAGTACTGGGGGGAACTGGGTAAAGATTATAAGATATCTTTCTGAACTATTTCTTACAACTGTGTATGAATCCACAATTGTCGCAATAAAAAGTTTGATTTTAAAAACGTGCTAAATCTCCCTAACAAATGGGAAAATTTGAATATGAACTGGATATTAGACAATATTAGGGAATAATTGTTAACAATACTATGATTAAACAGGAGAATGTCCTTATTCTTAGGAAATGTTTGTTGAAACATTTTGGGATGAAGTATTACGTCTGCAACTTAAATGTTTTACATATATAGGGAGAGAAAGAAAGCATATATGGCAAAATGTTTATTAAATTAAGGTAAAAGATTCATGAGTGTTCCCTGTACTCTTCTTTTTTCAGCTTGAATTTTTTTCAATATAAAGAGTTTGCGGCGATTAAAGACAAGTTGCTATCCTAGAACTGTGTAATAGTCCTGCACACCAATGTCTTTCCGAATGTTTAAAAACAAACTGAAGCTGTAAAACCATGCAGTAGTTCCACCTACACTCCACTTAGTTGTAAAATAAAAAATAATAATAGTTAGGATTTCAAAGTCACCAAGAATTACATAGTATTAGATGTGACTTGCTCACGTTTTTCAATATGAATTAACTAGATTTGGGCACATGGATATGTTTGCAATATTAAAGCTCAACACAGATTACTCTTTTTTATTTGTAGGAAAACTTAATCCCCAGAGTACGTCCACTTTTTCAAACAAATAAAATAAATTCTAATTACAAGAGAGAAAGCTATCGCTTCCATACACACCCCCCAAATTTTAAAAGTCGTTTAAGTTGGGCAAGTACAGTTAATTCTTTCATTTAAAAAAATGTTTGCATGAAACGAACAACCCACACACTAAAATGCCAAAAAACGTGCTACAGTGTATTACTTATAGCGCCAAGGCTACAGGCCACACTTTACAATGTAAACAGTCCTTCAAACATCACCGCGTTTCTGGTTTTAAAAAAACGCGAACTAAACACATTAGTAATGTAGGAATTAAGTAAGTCAGAGCTGGCCTCAACAAGATCCATCTCAAAAGTTCTTATATTCTCTTTTCTCTGATGCTAAGTTTTTTGCATCAGTGTTACACACTTTAATCTGAAAGAAAAGTCTGTCTAGAACTAAAGACTCAAAACTTTTCACTTCCTACCGGACCGCCCCCTCGCAATGGGCCCCACCTCCCGAGGCGGGTGATGGGGTGCGGCTGTTTCCCGCTCCGAAACTAAGAAATAAATGCCTCTTCCCTACTCCAGAAAGGAGGCAACACGACAGGCCAAGGAGCAGCAGACTCAAGTATGCAACTAACTACAGGAGGTAGTTGTTTAGAAAGCTTCCTTTCCTCCACTGAACTCCTTTCCTTTCTTCACATATCGTTCAGTGACCCCGGGCCGGGCGGGGACAGGTGAATCCTAAGAGGAAAGGAAGAGGGAGGGACGGACGATGGAGGGAGCGCCGCGCTTAGGCAATGAATGAGCGGTGCTGCATCGGCACCACCTGTTCCTTCCATGGATGCCCCCAGCCTGGTGGCAGGGTTCCCGCACCATCAGGGCCGCGACTCCTGTTCGTGTTGCCGGCTACCCAGTTAAAGGCCGAGAGTCGCCTCCCCTCGCTCGGAGCCGAGGAAAACTGGCACTCTAGAAGCCGGTAGGTAGGGGCCTAGTCCGGAACCAGGGCCTCCGAAGCGTGGGGACGACAGAATGAAGCCTGTGGTCCCCAGTACGCGGGCCCAAGTGGGATCCAGAGGAAGGGAACGAGGGAGTGAGTTCAGTTTCATTAGAAGTACGAAGGCCGGGTCCCGGACGGGGGTGGCTCGGTGCCCGCCGGGCCGATGTTAGGGGTGACAGGCCCGGGTACGAGCTAAATCCTACCCACTACTTGCCCAGAATCTCACACTTACCAAGATCCGCTTGAAGAGCGCGTTCTCCTTGGGCGGGAGGCTCACGGCCGGCATCGTTCCGGCTCCTCCCGCTGCTCCCGCCACCACCCGGCTCGGTCAGGCTGTTTGTCCGACCGCCGCCGGCGCCGTTCCCTGTCTGCTTCA